AAGGCCTAGAGAAAAGAACTACCTGTTGTAAGCAGACAATAAATGTCACGTTTGGAGGGAGTGGAAGGATTTTTGTTTAAGAGATAATGAGTTGGGGTTTTGTGTGATTGGTTGATGAAAGGTCTCAAATAATAGTCTGAGTTTGAATTTATTAGGAACTTTGAACAATATTAGGAGCAAACATGTATTGTTTCAAATGGAATTGAAACTTCCATAGCTTGGTCTACAAGGTGCAGATAGCTTTCCCTCAAGAAGTACCAGAGTTCTCCAGGGCTTTTTAGTTGGGTTTCTTTTTTTTTTTTTGCTTTTTGGTTTTAACTCCAATTGTAGTAAGTTTTTTGTTCTGAGATTAATGAGTTCATCTTTGACTATATGAACATCTTAGGTATCATTGACACCAGAAAAAAAGGATTGCAAAACATTGGTTCATCTTTAATCCCATCAAATTAGAAATAATCATGAAATACTTCCAAATATTCAGATTTCTTTTCTTTTTAAGGAAGTTGACAGAACATTGTATTTTTCAACTTCATCTTGGATAGCACTTCCTCCAGCATTTGAAAGTTTGCAAAGATGTCAGTTTCTACTCTCTTCTTCCATACCATTGGCTTAGCTAAAAAAATTTGCAATATTTATATTTGCAACATAGCATCTATAATGGTGACTTCAGGACCTTGAATTGAAAGATTTACTTCATTCATATGGTTAAAAATATCTGCCAGTCAAGCCAACCCATGGATAAAAAACCATTTCTTTCAAAATTTTACAAGAGTGGGTTTTATTTTTCCTTCAGAAAAGTAAAACTTCTGCCCCTGCTTCAAACAAACGCCTCAGGTATTGTTCCCTTTAAAGCCAATAAACTTCTATGTGGTAGGGAGGTGCTTCATATTCTACTCCCATTTCTTGACAAAATATTTTTAAAATGTGATAATTCTGAGATAAGCTTCTGGCAAAGTTGGCTTTTTATGCACTGTGACAAATCTTTTTTCAGGATTGTTGGAAGAGGCTTTGTTGCCAGTGGACATCTGTGTAAAAAGCAACACCTGAAGATATGAGGTGCTTCCTCTTTTGTTAAAGAAGCAAAACCAAGCATTGCAGGAGCTCCATCTGTGCAAAGATGATTAAGTTTTTCTTTCTAATCAAAGATTCCTTTGGTAATGACAACAACAATAACAGCAAAATACTTCTTTACCATTTCCAAAACACCCTTGATCTTTGGCATATCCAGAAGAGATTCACAAAGAAGAAAGCTTTGGTGTTGTCATCCAGCACATAGTGAACAAAAACAAGGAGCAGGCTACATTGAGAGATGTCTATCATTTCCTCTAGTTGTATCCTGAAGGAGAATGGAGAGTGGCTAATTCCTCAACAAATTGCTTCAAAATGTTAAAAAAAAAAAAGCGAACTCTTTCAGAATGGATCATATCATCTGACAGTGGAATCACTTAATGGCTTTTTCCCAAACTAGATGGGCCATTTCAAGAACACATGGCTTTACTAATAGTGTCGGGCTTCTTTTCATTTGGAGATCCAATAAGCAACTTTATAGGATGCTTCAGGAAAAGGGTTTCATTTTGTTTTTTTGTAAAATGGCAAATCCAAGTTTTTGAAGTGTTCTAGCTTTTTCTGAGCAAGCTTACTTCACCCAAAAAAGAACTTACATTTCAGATGCATTTTTAAGATGGTCAGATGTGAGATGTTCTTTCAGTTTTGCTGATGTCCTACTTTAGTTCAAAAGAATTTTCTCACCAAAACAAACAACCAAAAAAGCCGCTGTGGCTTGTGTGCCCTGTCATATTCATTAATACAAGAGAAACCATAGAATATATAGGCTTCATCATACTTCTTTTCTTCAGCATTTCAACGTGAATTGTCTCCTTACACATTTTGATCAACAAATAGTTGTTGAAAGGGAATACTGCAGAGCAGTGTAGATGTTTGGATGCCCTTTTTTACCCTTTGGTGGCTGAATGACCACAACGTGGAGAGTTGCTCAATAGTTGTCCAGTTATGTTAAACAGGAGTGTCAAATGGAGAAGCAGTAGAGGAAGGAGAGCAGAGCAAGAGGGAGAGGGAGAGAGAAATTCTGGGAAGAACTTGTTATTATCTTTGTGATTAAAAACAACACATATTTTGATACTTAGAGACTTAAGGATAAAAGCGAAAATGATGGAGGATGGCAAAAGTACAATGCTGAATACAATGGATTTGTAGCAAGGAGAAAATGAGGTAGAAGTATACAGAATTTTATATGTGTCTATATATGCATATACGCATGTGGCATATATATGTATATATACATTATGAATATTTTCTATGAGTAAAGAATCAGGAGGTGCTAGATATGGTGAACTCCAAGTATTATCAAAAATAGAAAGAAATTGTATGTCAACCAGCGTGAAATGACTTGTTACATTCTGTGAGTTATTCCTGAATCATCTATGTATGTTTAGTTAGAATACTCCTCTGTTAGAGCAAAGATTAAAATTAATACAAAGCCAGAAGGAAGAATGAAAATGAAAAAAAAGAGATGACTGCAAAACTACTTCAAGCTTACTTTTATGTAAGTCATTGACACCAAAAATTGGGAAATGGTTTGGGAAAGGACATTGACACAGATTTAACAATTTCATACAAAGTTTTGATGGATGGAAATCGTTTGTTATAATCCTCATTATAAAACCTAGAAAGTACCTCAGTAAGCACAATCTCCTGGACAAAAGTGGAGGGATATAGCAGCCAAGAGCTGAGCTCATTTAGTAGAAGTGCTGTCAGAAAAGTCTCAGTACTATTTTAAGACATTAATCTGTACTAAGAATTTTGGGACACTCTGTGTTAACTTATTTTTAAGATCTTGAGAAGATTATTGCAAAATTATGAATAAGAAGCAGTGAAAGGAAAAAAGTTTTATAAAAGAAACCCACCAAGGGAGAGAGAGACCCCCTAAGCCAAGTGATCTCAGTGGCATTGAAGAGCAAAACTGGATGGAGAGCAACAAAGAGATGGAAAGAGCCTGCAAACATTTTTTTATGACAAACTCTTTTCATCATTAAGAGTGATGTAGCCACCACCTCTGGACTCTGATGTTGTAGCCTTTGCTGGTAGCAGAGGTGTAAATGGCACTGAAGAAAGAACAAAACTGGGAAAAGCAGCTCAATTTGATCAAGTACCCCAAAAGCTGTCATGTGCTTTAGGCAACAGAGTTGTGGAGCGATTAAGGGATCAGTTCCCAAGAAACCTAAGGATACCTAAGGTGTAGGGAAAAAATATCAGTCATTATTACCCCCCAAAAGTGACAGAGAATATAAATTATTACCAGCCCATATGTCTACTTTCCCGTCTATGTAAATTTTTATGAACATCCTCATTAAACATATCCTTGATAATGACATCAGAACAAAATAGACTATTGCAAATTGTCTACTGTAGAATATGGCTTCATTGTCACATAATTGTGTAAAGAATACAAGAAAAGTGTAGTGAATACCAGAATCCACTGTCCTTATTGTTTTTTGTCTGTTAAAAAATATTTATTAGAGTAAAATGCTACCTTAAGGCTCTTCTCCAATATGTGGCAGCTGGGTTGCACAATGGTTAGAGTGCTGGATTTGAAGTCAGGAAGACCTGTATTTAATTCCTGCCTCAGATACTTCCTAGTTGTGTGATCCTGGGCAAGTCATTTAACCTCCCTGTGCCTCAGTTTCCCCATCTGTTAAAAGGGAAAGTTAGGCTTAATGGCTTCTAAGGTCTCTCCCAGCTCTAAATCTATATTCCTGTCTCCAGTGCACACGTCAAAATCATGCAAGATGCCTAGAAAGATATCAACAACAGAAATAACTTTGTTCAATAACCTCTAATTACTTATATCAAGTGGGGCGCAAAGTAGGGAGAAATGTCCTTGCTTAAGGTGTTTGTCATTGTCATGGAGGATGTCCACAATAAAGTTCAAGTCTTGATGTTCCTGTTTTTTAATGGCATTGCATTATTTGCATCAACACCCAGGACATGGCAGAGATTCCTAAACAAGTGAATTATCTATCTGGGGGGAAAAAAACCAAAACAACAGCAATAGGTAGTTGAAGACTGCCAGTGATTTGCAATTGGATGGACGATGTATAAAGCTTGTCCAAAAGGACATGTATCTTAGACTGCAAATGGACAGTGAGCTGGGCTAAGAGTTGAATAAAAGGATAGTAACTGGGAAACTACATGGTTCTTGCTAAAACAAAAGACCATCTTTTTGACACCAGTCCTTTTCTGGTGATGCTGTAGGCCTGGGCATCATGGAAAACTATTACTCTGAGGAGATGAAACTGAAGATTCCCTAAAAGTTGGTGAGATACACATGGTGAGTAAGAACAGCTTCCAACATATCACAAATGAGGAATTATATGAAAGAGCTTGTATATAAGTATCACCAGAGAAATACATGCCTGGAAAAAGAATGACTCAGTCAATGAACACCCTGTGAACTGCATTGATATCCGTGCAAGATGAAGTTGTAACCTGGTGGATAGACTCCCCCTCCCCCTTGTGGCAAAATTGCTGGAGAACTTGGATGAGCATCAGATAGGATGGACAGGTGTGAATGAGTGGCAACTGTGTCAGTGGAGGGGATAGCCACATCAGTGATATCACAGATTTTCCACTTCTATCTCTGTATTTCTGTATGACATCTATACCTACATCTGCAGCAATATGTAATTGGTCATCGTATTAGTGGAAACTCCCTTCACCAGTACAAATCATCAACTTGTCTGTAATTTAGAGTTTCAGCTAAATCACCTTCTCTAATTGAGCTGCCTTCGGTGGCAACTGGATGGCACAGTATGTTGTTTGTCCTTTGTTCTTGAAGGGGACCAATGACACCAGGAGGGTGGTGTCTTGACTTGCAAGTGAATTGGATTTAACTGAGGCAGAGCTGTGCAGAGTCATCAAACTTAATCTCTCCTCCATGGTATCTGAGTCCAGTGGCAATACATAGGTCAGGAAGATTGGCGATGGCCCCAGATGCAGTGTGGGACCTGGCCTTTTTAAGCTAACGTCCTTCCCAGGTTTAGCCAAGGCAAGGCAACACTCATTCACTAATTAAAGGCTAGGTAAGAATTAAAGCAAAAGATGGCTTAGTTTGACTTCCCAAAAGAATCAGTCTGGGAGGGGAAGACCCTCAGAGTTTCTGGCCAGGACAAAAGCAATTCAGATGGCACAGTAGATAGAACAGTGGGCATTAAATCAGAAAACCTGAGTTCAAATCCAACCTCAGACACTTATTGACTGTGTGATCCTGGGCAAGTCACTTAACCACTCTGCCTCAGTTTCCTCAACTGTAAAATGGTGATAATAATCTCTATTGAATTTTATATTCTTAGATTCCATTCATCTTTCTAACTGCCAAAATCTTTTTGGATCTCGACTCCATCAATCCAATATGTTAGCTATTGCTTACAATTTTGTGTCTTCTAATAGTAATAGCTAGCATTTATGTAGCGCTTACTATGTGCTAAGCACTTTACAAATATTATTTCATTTAATCTTCACAACAATCCTTGGAAATAGGTCCCATTATTATTCTCATTTTGTAGCTGAGGAAATAGAGGCAAATAAGATTAAGTGACTTGCCCAGGGTCACACAGCTAGTCAGTGTCTTAGGTGAGATTTGAACTCAGGTCTTCCTGGCTCCAGTTCCAGCAGTCTATCCACTGTACCACCGAGCCGCCATTGTATAATCATTTATAGATTTAATGAATATGCCATCCATATCTTTAAATCATTGATAAAGATGTTAAATAGCTTAGGGCCAATCCCTGGAGAACTTCATTGGACTACGTTTCATATTGATAATGAACTATTAATGAATGCTTTTTGAGTCTAGATATTCAACTGATTTTTTATTATACTGTGGTCTAGCCTACATCTCTCCATCTTCTGAACAAGATTAGGATGAGAAACTTTATCCCATGTTTCACAACAATCTAGCTAGACTATAGCAATAGCATTCTTGTGCCGTACTAGTCTTAGTAATCCTGTCAAATAAGGAAATAAGGTTAGTCTGGCATGACCTGTTCTTGTTGAAATCATGTTAGCTTCATCTTCCAAATGTTTGCTAACCATTGTTTTAATGATCTGTTCTTTATTTTAAAAAATTCCCCAGTAATTAAAATTAAGCTTTCTGGCTCAAAGTTTGTAGACTTTATTCTGTTCCCTTTCTCAGATAACATTTGCCCTTCTTTAAAATCTTGGCGCAGCCCCCTACGTAGATATGACTCCTCAGTTCCTTAGGGAGCATGCACCATCAGTTGTGGCCTGGTTGTTTCCTGGTTAGGAGGCCCATGCCCTCAAACCGCTTTGTACGCAGACCCCCCAGTGCTCAGTCACTTACCTCTCTGCTCCTTTCCCTTCCTCTCTCCATAATGTTATCTGTCCCATCATCTCCAGGGGCTGAAGTGAATTGACTTGTCCTGTGTCATCATCACCCTAGGCCTAGGTTTTAATCTTCCTCTTACTCCTTCATAAGTGTTAATATCATCTTCCTAAATTATGAATGACTTTAAACAGGGACTTTGTCTTTATATTTCTTCCCCCACCCTGTAGTAGTTGGGACCCATAGCAGGTCATAGTAAATTGACTGTTAACAAAACTAGAGAATTCTTTATTTCCTATCATTCCAATTGCAGAGGAATGTCTTCCTTAATTTACTCTTGCTTTCAAAATTTTACAACTTTGAAATAAATAACCTAGTCCAGAGTTAACAATAATAACAATTTCAATAATAAGAAATAGTTTCATTTAACTTTCCATACAGTTGTTATTTCAGACAATATATATCTTCTCAGCCATGAGCAATAATAAAAGAAAAGGAAAACTCTAGGCAGCCAGCCTTAGTTTGGCCCCAACATCTGCCTGCCATCAGCGATGGTATCAAGAGGGTCAGGGCTTCAAGAGTGTTCCACACATCAAACGAAAGCAGATCACAGTCATGATGAAATATCAGAGCCGGAGAGCCACAAATCAAATAGTACAAACAATTCCTGTCTTGTATCATCATCCGAGAGGAGCAGACCTGTCAGCGTTCCGCGGGGTCAGCCGAGGTAATCGAAGCTGGGCTTCTTGTCTTGCTTTTAACGACCGCGGCTGAAGTTCTCATCTCTTTGAGAATTTGTTATCATTCAATCAACTACTTAGAGTATAAAGATACAGCTCTTCTCCAATCTGTAGCCTGTAAAATATCCAAATGATAGGTTAGTAATGACATTTTTTTAAATGCATGAAATAGATGTCAATGGGGAGGTTCTCGAAGTTTTAAAAGCGCATTGAAGGCATGAAGACAAATGTACCATAAAAACCGATCGGATGGACTTGGCTTTTAAAGCTAGTAGAATTTAAATTTACATGCTGAGTTTTTTAAATATAATCAATCAATATTTTGACAAAATTTTAATTGAAACGAACTCATTGTAAAATCATCTTTGTCTATAGTATATGATTTCACACAGATGATAGACTAACATCAGAATTCATGAAAAGAACTTTTTGTAAGCAAGAAACTTTGTTAACAAAAAGGAAATGAGGAAATTGATCTTAATAATAATAACGACATTATTTTCATGATCTTTAAATGTTTAAGTGCATTGTGATTTTAATTTATTTGAAGTTTTGGTTCTGTCATAGTAACAATAAAGGATTGGTTTGGTTAACAATTATACTTTTGATTATAATATTTTTGTTTCGAGGAGAAAAGTTTTTGTCTTAATTAGATGTTAAAAGTTTGGTATCTAGGTCTGGGTTTTTTTTCTCTTTTTTGAGAATATAGTTTTTGCTCAGAAAGTAGCAAAACTGGTTTGTCTCAGGTTAAAATACTTAAAAAGTATTATCCCAGTACAATCTTTACTCCATCCCAAAACGGTTTAACATGAAAACTAGTATGGATAGCTGTAGTATAAGCAATTTAATAATAATCCATTTGATTTATGGTCAGAATTTTGTTTTTGTTTGTTTAAAAATGTTTGCACTTATCATTAAATAATCGTAAGTGATAAGAATAAAAAAGTTAAAAAAACTTAAGACTACGTATATAAGATTTTTAGTATATGTATATTATGTAATATGTTGCATATTATATCCAAGTTACATATTTTAAAACAATAGCTATATAAAATTTGACAGTTTTCTGACAAGCTTATTCATAGAAAAGTAGCCAATACCAGTTAAATATATTGTCAATAGTCTTTTAGTCTTGTTTTTGTAAAATTAAAGATAGTAAATATGAAATTTTAAAATTTCTTTTCATTAACATGCACCTTTATATACTTTTCTTTAAAGGTATAGACTTCTTATTTCCAAAAATTATAACTGGCATGGAATATAGCTAAAATGCCCCCAAAGAATTAAATATCCACCATGAGTGATTAGGGTAACAGTTTACAAAAAAGGATCTTGGAGTATCTTTACCAAAGTTGTGGTACGTACTATTATACCTGGCATTTGCTCTTCCAAAATTTTTGTGCTTTATTCTCTCCACACGGACAGTCTATGATATCCAAGAAATGAAAATAATTAATTTTACTATATAAAAATTATTTCATTATACATCTGTGTATATGTGCATATGCATGTAGATAACTTTTCCTTAGGTGTTCCCTTTTTCTCAGCTGAAGTAACCCATTTAATTAAAACGTGTGTGATGTTTTAATATCTTATAGCTATTATATTCTGAAATATACAAAATATTTTAGTATTAAACTTAGATGGTCATTTAAAAACATTCTCTTGCTGCCGTGATTCACCCCATCACCGTCCCGGTTGCAGATAACCACACTAGAAAAAAGCTGCGCATTCTGGGCAAAGGTCATTGTTTCAGTTGTTTAATGTTAATTTCTTAACCTAGGAGTTGGCTTCTTTTTTGAGCCTTGAGATTTCGGTCTGTCAGAGAGGGCTCGATTTCCTATATTCTGACCACGTTTCCTTACCTCTGGTTCTCTTGTTAGCTGCTGGAGGAGGGCACTCCAAAGCTGAAGCGGAACATGGCTGCTGGTGAGCATTCTTGGCAGACAGTGCGGAGGCTCACTAGAACCCGCAGACAGACCCCACCATGTCGACGTTTCTGTTTCAACTGGAGAACCTTTTTAGATCCAGTCAAAAAAAATTAAAGGTAAAAACAACCCAGAAACCCAGCAAATCGCTTAAGGGGTGCAATTAAAAATGATTTTCATCCTGTCTTTTTTGCATGGTTTAACAAAACTAATGTTTACTCATTTACAACTCAGTAAGAGGATAATGTGCTTAATGAAAGAAAAATCTACTGACAGCCACGTTTATTGCCCTTCATTAGCATTGGTGCTTAATTTAATATAGATCTGAATAGACATTAGGGAGCCTGCAGGAGGTTAAATGGTGAAAATATAATAAATTGAATCCGAGATTATTGAATTTACTGTTTAGTTTCAGTGACACCCAACAGACACAATTCATTAGACTTATTCTTTGGGGGAAAAAAAAGAATAGTTCAAAGTTTCAAGTTTCATTTATTCATTTATGCAGTCAACCTTTGTTCAAAGAATATTAACATAATTATGAGATGTAGCCCGAGACACTCCTACAATTGATATGTGCACATTGTTTTCCTAATGGAACGTTCCCTGATGTAAATATGGAACTTGACTTTACTTTTTACTTTATGTTTTCAGTGAATCTAGTGGATAGATTTTTTTTTAAATTTTGAACTTATTATTTCTGATATTTTGGCCTTTGGAATTAAATATGAAAATTTCTAATTGTTCAGTGAGAAAGAATCCAGCTCATATTAAAAATAACAAGAATAGAAGATTACCCTGTGTATTTAATCCCTCAAAGTATTTTGAACACCCAGTCTGCTATAAAAGTTCTCTATAAAATGACCTGGTTTAAATGTCATAGGAGCTTTCCTATCAGAATTAAGAACATTTAAACTGCTGTGCTCATCTCAAAACTTTTCAAAAAAAAGAGGAGTAATTTCCCCCACTTTTGTAAAGGTAGTGAACAAAAATCAAGTCTGGATAGCAAATTGAATAAATTCAGAAAAAATAATCTTGGAGCTCATTAAAGAGGAAATGATGTGATTCCATCCTTGAATATATAACAAATTATTTTCTTGAACTTGACAAAAAAAATTCAAGACAATTTGGCCTTGGTGAAGAAACTTGTTGCTATGATATTCGACAAGAATTACTGGTGAGACGATATAGAATTGTGTTTGATCATCTATTCCTTGAAGTTTAAAATATGGCTACCTTTGTTTACTCATTCTCTGAGCTATCTGCAAGTGTAAAAACACTTGGGCTTTATTTCATCATGACCTTAATTTGATTTAAATATTCATGTACTGCTTCATTAAGTTCTTAAATTACTTTGATTAATAAGGCATTCTTGCCTTTTATATATGGATGGCGTGTTGGAATAGATATATTTAAAAATTGTTCATAGCTAGAGTTTTAAAGAAAGCCTCCTGGACATTTTTGCTTCAAATAGTATTATTATGCACATGACTAGGCATTGGGGATGATTTTTAATTTTATGAAATAATTTCTCTTTATTTTAATTCTTTTTGCTTTTTGAAATCAAGTCCAGAACAACAACAACAAAAAACTTCTCTGCTTTGTCTGCATGTCTTTGGCTGTGTTTCACTGTGAAATGCACTGCTGTTCTTTTAGCACCAAAGTGTTGGCACACATTCCTGAAAATTTCACACCATCTCTTGCTGGATCAGCAAGCTTAACCTACCAAAATCTGGTGTTGTGCAATGGTTTTTGACTGATAATCAATCTTTATGCTGCTCGACAGTTGTTGCTGGGACACAGACTAGAGCAGGTGGCAGATGTGCCTCTCTTTGGAGAAAAGAAATAGTAGGTGAGCTTGGACACAGAATAGCACATCACATGTCCATTAAGAAGACTTTTACAAGGATAAGTGTCATAGTTTAAAAAAAATCACTCGTGGTGAATTAAACTCCTGAGAAAATCGGAATGTGGACATTTAGAGTATCTCAAAAGACTTGTCTAAATGTGTATCATCTTACTCATCAAAATCAGACTGCCTTTCTAAGCATGGGTTGTGGAGAAGTCAATGTGCATAAGCAAATTCTTTTGAAGTTTTGGGGAAAATTCTGAGCAAGGAAGCTTTTTTAGAAGTTGAAGAAATGAACACCCTGAAGTTTGCCTCGAAACAGCTGGCGAAGACTGGGTGTTGTAGCTGCACCTTTCCTGCCTGTGTATGAATCTTTAATATACCACTGTCCCAAAAAACATTGTTCAAGATGGTGATGCACTGATTTTTAACATTTAGCCCTCTGGAGACGTTAGTGTCTAATTCCTTTCACTAAATATTTGTTGAGGCTTTATTAAGTGTCTAGAACTAGGCACTTATGCCAATTATACTCTGCACTGTGTAGGGATACCTCAGTCTTGTTGAGATAAGAAGAAATGAACATGCGAACACAAAGAATAACGAGAGATTACATAATTGTGTGGGCCCTCAGAAGAAAGCTCACTATTTCTTGTTGTGTGGGAAGGCAAAATAAATGACAATATTTGTTCCAACCATTGGTTTTTTGTGGAAAAAAATTTTTTTTTTCATTCTTGAGATGAGAAAGGCAAAAGTGAATCAGTGGAGAATGCTAATGAATTACACTTAAAATCCTAACAGAGAAAATATCATATGTCTGAGGTCATTTTAATTCTTAAATTACTGCTCCCCAGTCTTCTCCCCCTCTCCCTTGTCCAGGATCTTCACAGATGGCCAGGGGCTCTGAGTATGTAATCTGTTTATTGTATACCTGAAAAAAATCCCCCTGACCAAAAGATCTTATTAAGATCAATGTCAGGGTCAAAGCTGACATAAAAGATTAGGGGTAGAAATTCAATTATAGGGCCATGGTCACATTTTTAGGATGGACTAAATAAATATTTTAGTAGTCATTTCTGTACAGCCTTATCTCCCTCCTCTTCAAATGTTTCTATGTTACACCAACCTAGAACTCTCTGGCCTCCTCTTTGTTAACCCGATTTTACCTTTTTGCCTTTAATCATGCCCACCGCCATGCTTAGAAATAGACTATTTCCCTTTTCAACTCTACCTGTTAAAGTCCCCTCCAGAGCCCAACTCTGATGTCAGCTCCCTTCAAGGAAGCCTTCTCCCAAAACTCCCTCCATTAGACTTCAAGCTTCTTGCAGGCAGGGCCTGTTGTTTTAAAATTTTATATGCATCATGCCTCCACAGGATATTAGTTTAATGGAATTGATTCATGTTCAGAAAATAGGCATTTAATATTAAACATTTTTTTCTTTCCAATATTCTTGCAGTAGTGGCTTTACAGATAGCATAATTTAATTGTTTTACTGAAATTGTAGAGAGGCACTAAGGGACTATCATTAATTAAGCCATTTAGAAAGTTTTCAGGTTTATACTCCAGTTTAAGTCTTTATTCATATCTTCCATTTTTTTTTGCTTCCTCAAGGAACATGTTCACTCAGTAAAGTTCTTCAGCAAATGCCTGAGGACCAGTAGAAATCTATTCGTTAATAAAATATCTTCAATTTACAAAGCCTTATAAGGTTTACAAAATGCTGACTTGACCTATTTCCTCATAACAGCGAGGTGTTGTATTGAATAGAGCACTGGAGTCAGTAAGACTTGAGTTCAAATGTTGGCCTCAGGTATTTACTAACTCTGTGACCCTGAGCAAGTCACTTAACTGCTGTTTACCTCAGCTTTCTCATCTGTAAAATGGAGATAATTGTGCCACCTGCCTCCCAGGGTTGTGCGAGGATCAAATGAAATAATTGTTGTCAAGTGCTTAGCATAGTAAGTTTAAATAGTAAATGTTCACTATTAACAAGCCTGGGAGACAGGTGGTACAGGTATTATTGGCCCCATTCTGAACGAGGGGAAAATGAATCTAAGAAAAATAAAGTCACTTACCCAGGGTCACACAACTAGTGATGTCTGAGGCAGGATTTGAAAGATGGTGGAAAAAAAATAATAGATTTGGCATCAAGGGACTTGGATTTAGATCTTAGTTATAGCACACCCCAAAGTTACACTTTGGGCAGATCATTTCACAGGTTCGGGCCTCGCTTCTTTGTGTTTAAAATGAGGGGGTTGAATTAGATGTCCTGACTCCTAAGTGCTGCCTGCTTTCCGCCGTGCTATGATTTTTAGTATTGTGGGTAGGGCTTGGAGAAAGATAGACCAAAAAACGTAAGAATTGGCTCCTGTCTTCAAAGAGATTAAAGTTTTAGGAAAAGGTCGAGGAAGAAATTGATAGGGTCCAACATCATGCTCACAGTCTTAACCTGAATTTCCACTGTATGGAGCAGCAGTTGTTATTATTAAAATACTGAGTTTTTGCATTTGTACTATTTCTTATAGCCCACTCTGCTATTTTGCATTCAAGGTTATAATTTGTAGTGATTCATATCAGTCATGAGTTTTGTTAAGCAGAAGTGAAACTGAATATTATGAATAAGATTTTACATCTTTTATATAATGCATTGTGAAGATGCAGTTACAAGGGGAGAAAAATCTATGAAAAGATTTCTCGATAATGTACCTGAGATCTAAATTTAAACCTAGAGATTTTCTGCTAAATGCCATGTGATCTACAAAATGAAATAATTTGCTGTGACAGCTTGTGATTGACAAGAATATGTGTGAGCATGTTTAAAATAGGGCATCTTTTCTTGCTGAAGTGTCAGTGAAATGATGGATTCTCATCGTTTTAATTATTGATGATTTGGAAATGTTTCAATTCCAAGACACATTCTAAATAGCAGCCTAACACATTTGCTGGTATCTGCAACCAAAAGGAAATGTTCTGTCATTCCTTGTTTTTCAAAAAATGCATTTGTTTAATGAACCTAGATTTATTCATTTTCTTACATGTTAGCCCAGTTTGTTGACTTCAGAATGATTTTGATTGAAGCATAAATTCAAAGTTGTGAGCTACTACCACACCATGCATCTATCGTTAATTCTAAAGAAGCTCCACAGGATTGTCCCGGAAGTCCTCAGAACTTCCAAAGCCGATCCTATACTTTTTGTTGTTGTTCAGTCATTTTTCTCTTGAGTATTCAGCTCTTCGTAATTCCATTTGGGGTTTTCTTAGCAAAGATACGG